ATAACACAGCAGCCGAAACCCAGCCAGTAGGTAGGAAGAGCCCAGCTGGCGTTTCCCAATACCAATCCCCGTGCCTGTGGCGCCTATACTGAATATCTCCCATTAAAGGGGGTGTAACCTTAAAATATAACTTGTATTCAGAAAATAAAGAAGAAAATTCTAAGAACTCTTGTGAAAATCTCGCATCGCTACTCAAAATAATAAAATAGATACGGCTAAATATAATTTTGTCTATTCATCGCGTGACGTCATAAACACACTTAGGTACTTGTACTGGTACTTGATTCGTATCAAAAAAGAAACTTGTACTTGATACTTAAGTACTTTTTTTTGGTACTTAGAACAGCTCTGATTGGTGGATACGATTCGCATTAACTTAATTAGGGGCGCCAAAATCGGATCTCGCTCAATCCTAAAAGTAACCTCGGGCCGGCACTGCAGCTTGACATCAGTAGTCCATCATCAACATAAATGAGCAAAATTGTATGTTCTTGAACTGTACCTCGTTGGATGCATTTGTCAGCTTGGCATTTTTTCGAAACCAAACTGTCTTAGAACACTTTCAAATTTTTGGTGAGTCTATATAGTAACTTCATTAGTTTACACCCTTTGTCAGTCTTCGGGAACCCTTCAGGTACCTCCATATATATTTCTTCTGAAAGTTCACCATATAAGAAGGCTGTCTTGATGTCAAACTATCTGATTTTGTAGTGATTGTGTAAAGCAAAAAATAGAACAACTCTGATTGAATCATACCTTGTTGTAGGTGAAAATATTTCAGCATAATCGAGTCCTTCTTTCTATGCAAAGCCCTTTGCACATAACCTAGCTTTGTATCCTTCGACTTCACCTTAACTGTCGTATTTCACTTTACACACATCTTGTTAAATCCATGTCTTGTTTTCATCTTCCTGTGTAGCTTCCTTTCATTTTTTAGAGTCATTACAACTTACTGCTTCTTCATAAGTATACTTGGAACTTCTAGCTCTACTAAATATAACTGAAATTTTCTCAATCTTTGTGGTATTTTTCCACTTCTTCTACTTCTTCATATTCTTGTTGCCCATTATTCTGTGGCCCGAGGTGACGAGGTGGGACTCCAATATTCTCTTCTTCATTATTTTCGAATTCAATCAACACTGGTATTTCTTCTTGTTTATCAACAAACCCCGTATTTTTTCTCGTCAAATAAAACATTGCGTGATAGTGATATCTTTCTATTTATAGGATTATCTGCTTAGAAGGTGTTCGATTCAGAATTTATATTGCAGTACTCGCTGCTTCTACCTAGAAATAGTGAGATGTATTTGCAGTAATAACCATTGACTTGATGGTACGGTTTTTTCTCTCACATCGGTCATTCTGCTCCGGGGTATAGGGTGCAATATTTTCTAGTTCAATGCCTTCTTTGTTCATGTAAGCTTCCAATTCTTTATTTATATATTCACGTGCACATTATCAACGTGCAAAGCATTCACTGAGTGTCCAAATTTTGTTTAGATTAAACTATTAAACTGAACAAAGTACTCATACATGTCACTTCTGTGCTTGATAAAATAAGCTGACGGTAACTTGTGTAGCTGTCTTTGAAAAGCAACATATAACGAGCACCTGATACTGAAGGTGTCGTTATGGGTCCACATAAGTTACTATACACTTTTTGTCAAGGAGCACTTTTAAGAGCTCGTGTTGACTTCTTGAAACTTTTTCTGTGCTGCATTTTTACTTTCACTATGTTTTTAGTGATCATGTCTTTTAAATACTGCTTGTTGATATGCTCAAGCCTCTCATGCCAGTTTTTCTAACCTTAATTTCATTTTGGTTGCACACTGTACGAATAAGCATTTTATACAGGTTATTCGATTCTTGCTAAATGGCACTAGCTACTAGGTCTATAAATTCTTGCGGTGTTACCTTTTTTTAACTATTATGTCATCTTCTCATTTGTCAAGACAGAAATAAGATTCTTTCTCAGTCCTGAGATGAAGAGTATATTGTGTATGTAAGAGTCACACCATTCTCCATCTATTAATTTCTGAATCTTTACTGTCCTCTTTCCTTTCACTTCTAGGTTCTTACTGTTTTCTAGGTACACAAGAGAAGGACTCTTCAACTCCTCCAATTCAGAAAAATAGTCACCACTGTCTAAAATCCAATAGTCGTCACACGATATTAGATTCAATTCTTGTAAATCCAGTACTTGAGGGTGTCTCATTTTTCTTGCTGTATTCACCATTTTTCTTATCACCTGTCTGTTTGGCAGCCCTGTAGTCTTTAATCATAATATATCCACGTTTTTGACAGTTAAATGAATGAAAACCTTTTAATTTTTCTGCATTCGATGTGCTTTTCTTTCTACTCAAGGTCATGGCTGCTAAAGCCTCTTGCTCTTCTTCAATTGTTGTAAGACTCTGTTCCTCATCTAGAAGTCTGGCTGTCAGGTTCTTTTCATTCTGCTTCGTTTCGTTCATTGACAACCAAGCTTGTCTAACATTTCGGTATTTAAGTGGCAGCGTGTTCAAAATATTTGTGTTTCACTAACCGTATCACCACAATCTTTGATCTGTGTGCCAGGTTCTCAATTTTTGCTACGTGCTTTGCCACTGAATCACCAGGATCCATCTTGTATTGATGAAATTTTTCATGTGCCATAAGTTTGTTTACCTCTGACTTCTGTCTATAAATAGAGTCTAACTTACCCTTCATGTCTTTCGAGGTTTGGCAATTTTCTATCAAGGTAATCTGCTTGAAATCCATGGCCGATGTTATTGAAAACATTGCTTGTACGTCTTTTTTGTACCATGTTGAAAGCTCGTAGCTGGTTTCACTGTTGACCCATCAACCAGCCCATACAGTCCTTTTGTCTCCAATGCACGCTGAACTTCAAACATCCATTGATGATAGTTTTCACCAGCGAACTTGGTAATGCTTCCGAGATCGGTTTTTCCATACATTCTTTTTCGTTGCAGTAGCCGATCATTTAAATTACTTCTCCCTAGCACTCTGGGCCCATAACCTGTTGAAAGTCTTGCTTGCAGTGGATTGGAACGATAACGCACTTGACTAAACTACAGTTTCTTTATTGAAAAGTTACTGAGCAACCAAAATAATATTTTTTCTAAAAGAAACTCTAAACGTCAAAAACAATAACTAAAGTAAGGTGAGTCGCTGCCTATTCTTGAACTAAACTGTGCCTCTATATATGAACACACGAAAAACAATATTTACAAACATGAAAAAATACATACAGGGTGTCTTTAGATAAACTGACAAATTTTGCAGGTAAATATATCGAAAACGAGAAAAGATAACGAGATTTAGATTGTTCTTTAAGAATATGGATTTTTTGAAGTTTTTTTTTTTTCACAGTATTGCCCAATCTGTAATCTCATTGGTCGGCCACTTATCCGTCAACCAATAGAATTATAGAACGATAAATTTATCTTGCAGATAGTTACCAGCAAGTTTGTCTAAAGATGAATAAATTAAATGCAAAAAATTATGTAAAATTCCTATTAAATCACCTTGCGAAGCTTCTGAAAAATACTTCAAGCAATCAGAGGGACTTCAAACTTTCATCAGGATTTATTAAGTAGGGTCTTTTTATCGCACAGAACAAACCGTGGGTTCAAACAGTTTTTAGTCAAGTTCGAATACATAAGAGGTACCATATGTCGTTTAAAAAAAAAGAACCAAAAAACCGAAAAAAGCGCAAAATTAGGTTCGCCGCTTATTAACGAAAACTCAATTTAATATAACCACGGCATATGCGTTCGAAGGGCGACCACATGGCACCATTAACACACTCCCATAGAACCATTGGCGAAAATGTTCAACGAACCTTTTGGGTGCCAGTAGGTAAATGGTCGACGATAAAGAGCGGCAAAAACAAATCATCCCGATGTGTGTGTCCAAATATTAAGACAATACGAGAAAAAAAAATCCAGGTAACCTAATTTATTAGGAACCTCGGGGGGGTGCCGCTCTTTTTATGACGCCCGCGTGCCTAATAAAGGAGAACCCAAAATAAAAAACCGAAACGGACACCGCTGTTTTTCGATTTATATCACGCGATAATTCATCCTCATCAAGAATTTAATTTTCATGGTGGGCAATTGCGTTTCTGAAATCATAAACAATTCATTGAAAAACTACGCAACGTGCTCTTTTACCCTATAGTTCAATTTGCACAGGTTGTATTTTTTCTCACGGCCTCCAATCATCCCTTTCCGCAAAAATATCCTCATCGATGGAATTCCAAGGAAAAGCCCCTCAGACACGGAATAGAGACACGTAATCGGTTTTTTGTGTGTCTTCAATGGAGTTGTACGTGACCCGGCAATTGACTTTTACAGGTACTTTTCATTGTTGCTGCATTGCTCGGCGACTATAGACATTATTGCCGATTGATTTGTAGATATTTGAGAAAACGAGGTTTCGAAGATAAGTTTTGAGAAATTGAAATGTGGAAGAGAATGAGAAACTTTCACGAGAGTTGTAAGACCAGAAATATTCTGAGAAGTTGGATATATAAAGACGAAAATACTTTATATGGACTTTTTACTTATAAGCGAAGTTCGACTAAACATTATGAGGAAATACTTCTTAGGGCGGGTATTATAAAACTATATTGACAAATAACTAAAAGTTAACTTCTGGAATCACTTACAAGATGTGACGTCATTCCAGAAGTTAACTTAGTCGAGGTGAAAACCACCTCGGAATTATAGTGTATACAAGCATCTGGAATTCCAGATTTTGTAGTTTAGAAACTCCTCTTTGAAAAATCCTGAAACATACTTCTGAGTATCAAATCGATATCAAACTTTCAGGATTTATAAATCAGAATCTTTTTATCGAATAAGGCAAATTTGAAGTCAATTTGAAATTCAGAAGCTAATTTCTGGAGTTTTTTCAAGGGGCAAACCACCTAGGAATTCTTTGCCAAAAATGTGGGGAATTTAGACGAATTTGTGGGGAATTTGTAGGAACTCATCCGAATTTATGAAAATTTGAGGAATTTATAGAGAATTTGGAGGAATTTATGGGGAATTTGGTGAAATTTGTGAGGAATTTATGAGGAATTTGAAGAAAATTGTCAAATTTAAAAAATTCAAAAGAATAATGAATACAGTTTTTGTAGGTAGATTTCCAAGATTTGTCATGTGACTGTTTTTCATTGGAAAAATGAGCTCACCTTCCTCTTCACATGCAAAAAGTTTCAAAATATTCCCTTCACTAGTTTTTCAGGAAAACTTTGAAATGTGTGAAACTGTATTTTCAATTAATTCAGTTTTTGTTGGTTGATTTTCAAAATTTTTCATGTTGCTGTTTTCTACTGGAAAAATTTAAAATTTTGCGAAAATGAGCTTCTCAGCTTCCTCTTTGCATGCAAAAAGTTTCAAAATTTTTCCTTTTCTAGTTTTCCAGGAAAACTTTGAAATGTGTGAGACTATATATATTTTCAACTAATTCTGTTTTTGTAGGTTGACTTCCAAGATTTTTCATGTTGTTGTTATCTACTCAATTCAGTTATTGTAGGTTGATTTCCAATATTCCTCATGTTGTGATTTTACATTAGAAAAATTTGAAATTTTAGAAAAATGAGCTTCTCACCTTCCTCTTTACATGCAAAAAGTTTCAAAATGTTCCCTTCTCTAGTTTTCCAGGAAAAATTTAAAATATGTGAGACTATATATATTTTCAACTAATTCTGTTTTTGTAGGTTGACTTCCAAGATTTTTCATGTTGTTTTTATCTACTTGAAAAATTTTAAATTTTGGGAAAATGAGAGTCTCACCTTCCTCTCTACATGCAAAAAGTTTTAAAATTTTTCCTTCACTTGATTTGCAGGAAAACTCGGAAATATGTGAGACTGTATTTTCAATTAAATTCAGTTATTGTAGGTTGATTTCCAATATTCCTCATGTTGTGATTTTACACTAGAAAAATTTGAAATTTTAGAAAAATGAGCTTCTCACCTTCCTCTTTACATGCAAAAAGTTTCAAAATGTTCCCTTCAATAGTTTTCCAGGAAAACTTTAGAATGTGTGTGACTGTATTTTCAATTAATTCAGTTTTCATAGTTCAAAGATTTTTCATGTTGCTGTTTTCTAGTGGAAAAATTTGAAACTTTGGAATGATGAGCTTCTCAGCTTCCTCTTTACATGTAAAAAGTTTCAAATTTTTTTCTTCTCTAGTTTTCCAGGAAAACTTTAAAATATGTGAGAGTAGGTATTTCCAACTAATTCAGTTTTTGTAGGTCGACTTCCAAGATTTTTCATGTTGCTGTTATCTACTAGAAAAATTTTAAATTTTGGAAAAATGAGCTTCTCAGCTTCCTCTTTACATACAGAAAGTTTCAAAATATTCCCTTCACTAGTTTTCCAGGAAAACTTTGAAATGTGTGAGACTGTATTTTCAATTAATTCGTTTATTGTAGGTTGATTTCCAATATTCCTCGTAGTTATTTTCGGAAAATGAGCTTCTCACCTGCCCCTTTACATGCAAAAAGTTTCAAAATTTTCCCTTTTCTAGTTTTTAGGGAAACTTTGGAATATGTGATACTGTATTTTCAATTAATTCAGTTATTGTAGGTTGATTTCCAATATTCCTCATGTTGTTATTTTCCACTAGAAAAATTTGAAATTTTGGAAAAATGAGCTTCTCAGCTTCCTCTTTACATGCAAAAAGTTTCAAAATGTTCCCTTCACTAGTTTTCCAGGAAAACTTTAAAATATGTGAGACTGTATTTCCAACTAATTCAGTTTTTGTAGGTCGACTTCCAAGATTTTTCATGTTGCTGTTATCTACTAGAAAAATTTTAAATTTTGGGAAAATGAGCTTCTCAGCTTCCTCTTTACATACAGAAAGTTCCAAAATGTTCCCTCCACTAGTTTTCCAGGAAAACTTTGAAATGTGTGAGACTGTATTTTCAATTAATTCAGTTATTGTAGGTTGATTTCCAATATTCCTCGTAGTTATTTTCGGAAAATGAGCTTCTCACCTGCCCCTTTACATGCAAAAAGTTTCAAAATTTTCCCTTTTCTAGTTTTTAGGGAAACTTTGGAATATGTGATACTGTATTTTCAATTAATTCAGTTATTGTAGGTTGATTTCCAATATTCCTCATGTTGTTATTTTCCACTAGAAAAATTTGAAATTTTGGAAAAATGAGCTTCTCAGCTTCCTCTTTACATGCAAAAAGTTTCAAAATGTTCCCTTCACTAGTTTTCCAGGAAAACTTTAACATATGTGAGACTGTATTTCCAACTAATTCATTTTTTGTAGGTCGACTTCCAAGATTTTTCATGTTGCTGTTATCTACTAGAAAAATTTTAAATTTTGGGAAAATGAGCTTCTCAGCTTCCTCTTTACATACAGAAAGTTCCAAAATGTTCCCTCCACTAGTTTTCCAGGAAAACTTTGAAATGTGTGAGACTGTATTTTCAATTAATTCAGTTATTGTAGGTTGATTTCCAATATTCCTCGTAGTTATTTTCGGAAAATGAGCTTCTCACCTGCCCCTTTACATGCAAAAAGTTTCAAAATTTTCCCTTTTCTGGTTTTTAGGGAAACTTTGGAATATGTGATACTGTATTTTCAATTAATTCAGTTATTGTAGGTTGATTTCCAATATTCCTCATGTTGTTATTTTCCACTAGAAAAATTTGAAATTTTGGAAAAATGAGCTTCTCACCTTTCTCTTTACATGCAAAAAGTTTCAAAATATTCCCTTCACTAGTTTTCCAGGAAAACTTTGAAATGTGTGAGACTGTATTTTCAATTAATTCAGTTATTGTAGGTTGATTTTCAAGATATTTCATGTTGCCGTTTTCTACTGGAAAAATTTGAAATTTTGGGATAATGAGCTTCTCAGCTTCCTCTTTACATGCAAAAAGTTTCAAAATTTTCCCTTCACTAGTTTTCCAGGAAAACTCTGAAATATGTGAGACTGTATTTTCAATTAATTCAGTTATTGTAGGTTGATTTCCAATATTCCTCATGTTGTTATTTTCCACTAGAAAAATTTGAAATTTTGGGAGAATGAGCTTCTCACCTTCCTCTTTACATGGAAAAAGTTCCAAAATGTTCCATCCACTAGTTTTCCAGGTAAACTTTGAAATGTGTGAGACTGCATTTTCAATTAATCCATTTATTGTAGGTTGATTTCCAAGATTTTTCATGTTGCTATTTTCCACTGGAAAATTTTGACATTTTGGTAGAATGAGCTTCTCACTTCTCACCTTCCTCTTTACATGCAAAAAGTTTTAAAATATTCCTTTCACTAGTTTTCCAGGTAAACTTTGAAATGTGTGAGACTGTATTTTCAATTAATTCAGTTATTGTAGGTTGATTTCCAATATTCCTCATGTTGTTATTTTCCGCTGGAAAAATTTTAAATTTTGGGAAAATGAGCTTCTCACTTTCCTCTTTACATGCAGAAAGTTTTAAAATTTTCTCTTTTTTTTGGAGGAATTTGTGGGATATTTGGAGAAGTTCGTGGTGGGGTATTTGGAGGAATTTGTGATGGGGTATCTAATCTAGAGGAATTTGGAGGAATTTGCAGAAATTTTGAGGAATAATGCGAATTCGCCTTTGAGGAATTGTTTGCACCAATTTTGGGATGGTGGTTTACCCCTTGGGTTTTTTCCAACTTAATACCAGAAAAAGTTGGAAAATTCACGTTAAATCACCTTTGAAAACCCCTGAAAAATACTTCGGAGTATCAGATCGATTTCAAACTTTCTGGATTTATTAACCAGGATATTTTCATCAAACAAGGTAAATTTGAAGCTCAGAAACAAAGTAATGATGTTTTCCCCAACACCAGTTTCATGTTAAATTATTTTTGAAAAATCCTGAAAAATACTTTGAGGAATCAAAGTGACTTGAGATTTTCAGGATTCAATAATCAGGATCTTTTCATCAAATAGAGCAAATTTGAAATCAATCTGAAGCTCAGAAATAAAATTATGCGGTTTTCTTCAACCTGATACCAGAAAGTAAAATTTTATTAATTTTTAGTGGAATTCCAGTAGGATATCGTGGGATTCCAGTGTACCTACATATTTTTCAAGGTGATTTACCCCTCGCTTTTAGTTATTTGTCAAAATATTTTTGTATAATACCCGCCTTTATTCCTATACTTTTTGACAAAATTCTTTTCGCTTAAGGGCTAATTTAACTGACCCGTGAGCTTAAATACATTACACAATACCAAAATTTCACATGGTACCAAAGTATGATTCATCAAACAACAAGAAAAATACGCACACACAGGAAGTAAAGGGCAATTCTGGTAAAGCACCGCAATGGTACCACTGTCCACCAAGAGGAAGCCCAGCTGATTGGTATTCGTCGCCGGTACTGCTTGTCGATAGTACTGACCTTCCGAATGAATGCACCTTTACAACACAGTGCAACCGGATAACGTTTTCAAGATATTTTCATTAACCTACAGCAAAGTTATTGCCCCTTGTCCAGAAATATGCTCTTCTATGTAAACTAATTAGTGTTTTAGGAGACAAAAAAAAAAAAAGCGAAGTGACAAAACAGGAAAAAGGCAATTTGACGGTTAGTGTCGGGGCGGATGCGCTCGTGTCGGAATTCCTGCGGGCCTTTGATTTTTTTTCCGTCTCTCTGTGCTGCCATTAATAAAAATATCGTCGAATTTTATGTAAGGTAGACAATAGTAAAACTGTGCGTTTTGTTTTGGTTCCTGGCACAAAATAGTATCAACATCGTAAAGTTGGCGTGTCACGTCGAACGAATTTATTAGTGTCATTATGGCTGTGAATTTTTGATATATTTACGAGGATTTTTCAATCCCAATAGAAAGTGACCTATTTGAAATGGTTTATGACTTATATTATATTTGAAAGTGGTCAGTTTCTATTGGGACACCCTGGATCCTTGAAGATTCTCCAATATTTCAATATATGTATTTTTATACAAGAAACGTTGCCTCTATAAGGACGGGTATTATAAAACTACTTTGAGAGTTAACTTAAAGTTAACTTCTGGAATTACATGTAATTCAAAAAGTTAACTTCAAGTTAACTGTCAAAGAAGTTTTATAATACCCGCACCCTAAGTATTTTTGTAATGTAAGATATGCATTATCAAACGACTAATTACTATTAAATATTGATGATTGTTTGATTTATTTTTCTAATGTCAAATTTTTTGATTTGTTTCAGAGGCGTGCTCGTCGCGCAGTACCCCAAAGCCAAGGCCTCCGGCGCCCACCCCGCGGCCTAATATCACATTCCTGACGTACCCCTGTCCCCCGGCGTACGCCGCGTGGTTCTGTCTGAACGGCGCCACCTGTTTCACAGTCAAAATCCAAGATAGTTTGCTCTACAATTGCATGTAAGTACTACAGTGACTGTTATTGAAATTGTTTGGAAAAATATCTTTGCTTTCCAGTGTATAATAATAATCTGACACTTTGATAGTAGCAAATGTATGTATCTTGTTTTTTGGTTTTTTTCAGGTGCGCGGAAGGCTATCAAGGATCAAGATGCGAATACAAAGATCTGGATGGGTCTTATATGCGTAAGTTTTCTTATTTATTTAATTTAGAAAATTGTTACAATATATACCTATTTGAAAAATTCGATTCACTAAAGCTCTTTTCTGAGTTGGATAGAGTTCTCATTCTTCTCCATTTCCATTGCAACTCCATAACATAAGTAGCTTGAATTGGAAACAGATTTACACTATATGGATTTAAAATAATTTCTTTTCGCAAACACAAACAAAAATCTTTTATGAAATTATATTGGATGTCGATATGTTTGGCACGTTTGGAATTTTCAAAATTATTAACCAAAGAAATTGCACTTATATTGTCAGTTTTAAGTACCACTGGTTCACAAATTTCGAATTCACTTAGAAGTCCTTTATTGTTCATTAATTCTTGAGATGCGATTCAATAGATTCTCTGGTGTTTCGCAAGTTTCGTCCTCGAACAGTTGTTGAATATACTGCTGCCATTCATTATCCTGATCTTCCTTTGTTAACAGTGCCTTTCCACCATCGTTATACACTCGGTTATACATTACTGTTATGGTTTTCTTTTTGTATATGCCAGAAAGTAATTTCATCTTTTTATTAAGTTAAAGTCATCGTGTATGGTCGGTAGCTGCTCTATTTCCTTGCAGGATTCCCAGAGCCACACTTCCTTTGCTTCCCTAATTTTTTTTGCGTATTATCCGACGTATTCTCTTGTACTCACTATAATTGTTGTTTTTGTGTTTTCGTCTCTCCTCTATAAGGTTCAATATATCTTGCGTCATTCATCTTTTTTGCCTTTTTTTCCCTTTGGTTTTATCAACTGCTGAACTCTTGCATTTCTCAAAAAAGTTTTGAGATCTCGCCAATTTTCTTTGAAATTTTTGTTATCAAGGAAAAGTGATATAGTTGTATGTATATTACCATTTATTTCCTTGATTAGTTCTTTGATGGTTTCGGGGTCCTTTAGTATACAGGGTGTCCCAGCCGAAAGTGAACCATTTTAAATGGTTATAACTTTTAAACCAGGTATGCTACTTACCTGCGGTTTGTGCCATTCGATTTCTCTTGGTTTAAAGTTTTTTCTAGTAGGTTGTAAATTTTTTTGAAACTTATACAGGGCAAGTAAAAAAAAATCCGTTTTTCAACATTGAAATTCTCCACTATTTTTAATGGAACACCCTGTATATCATAGCGTCAAATAAAGAATAATGTTGAAGGTATCCATGTACGAATAGACATACTTGAAGTTTTGGTATTTTTGGTTTTTTTGCAAACGCATATTTACAAAGCTTGGAACTTATATTTGCTCAATAAAAAGTTAATAAAAACTGCATAAAACTATACAAAATGCTGTATATGTATATGTTAGCCATTCTGTTCCAGGCATTTATGGATCAGTAAATGGGTGAATGACTTGTGTAACATTTCCTGGGAAATCGCTTCAATGACATTACAAATGTTCCGCTTAAGATCTTTTAGGCTATTTGAGCAAAGGATTACAGCATCTTTCCTTGACATAACTTCAGAGAAAAAAGTCTGGAACTTTCAAGTCAGGAAAGTGAGGTGTCCATTCTATAGGACCTCCATATACGTCTTTCACCAAATTTCATATTCAGTGATTCCCTTGCTATTAAAGAATAATCAGGTGGGGGCACCATCCTGCTGAAAATAGATATCATCCAAGATACACTCCTGTCTTAACTGTGGAAAAAAGAACATATCAGTGTATACAATTTCTGATATCGTTGGTTCATTAATGGAAATGGTCTGTATTTTTTCCTCGATTTTTTCTTAATAGAGATTGCACACCAAACTGTTACTTTTGGGGTATCTCTATTTGACGAATTCGAGAGAAAATACTCTGGAACTCGTAAAATTTTCTTGGAAATTGTATTTTAACTTAATTGATATGTTACTAGACAAGTACAAAATTCTTTGTCATAGTGATATCACAACATGAATTTGCATGGGTTTGCAAAAATACCAAGATTTCGATTTTGATTTTTTACCTCCAAAACTTCAAGTTTTAGGGACGATGTCTATTGGTACATGGATACCTTGAATAATAATCTTTTTTTTGACGTGATATACAGGGTGTTCTATTTAAAATAGTGGAGAATTTTGATGTTGAAAAACTGATTTTTTTTCAATTGCCCTGTATAGGTTTCAAAAAAATTTGCAACCTACTAGAAAAAAACTTTAGACCAAGAGAAATCGAATAGCGCAAACCGCAGGTAGCTAGCACACCTGGTTTAAAAGTTATAACCAATTAAAATGGTTCATTTTCGGCTGGGACACCCTGTATATTGTTGTATTTTTGAGGTCTTCGATGGTTGTTTCTCTTTTTTAAATTTCATGCCCACTACTGAGCAGAGCAAGTTATGATCAGAGTGCACGTCAGCTCCAGAATAGGTTTTCGTTGACTTATTGCAATTCCGGAATCGCCGGTTGATCAGGATGAAGTCGATCTGATTCCGTACAATATTGTTCTATGTGTGTAGGGGGCAGGGGGGGAGACGGGGGAGCCTCCCCCCCCCCCCAGGGCGCAGCTGGCAAAGGGGCGCCAAAATAGGCAAAGTGCAAAAAACAAAGAAACTGAATCAAAATAAACATTCAAAAAGTTTGGTGTTTTTATTTTGAAAATCTACAATATACACTTCATTATTTCCACCTGAAACTATCTAAGAAAATCAGGAAATCGAATTGGCAATAGATAAAGTCTCATTCAATACATAAGCACAGATTACTTACATACAGATGCGAAAGAGCGGCGAATTCGTGGTTCAAGATTAATTTGATAGATATAGGCTGGCCGCACTAATGCCACATCAATGTATTTTGAACATATTTATTATATAAATGCGGAAGCTCAATAATATAATATCATTTCTTTAATTGGTTCACAAACAGCAAAAAAATATTTTTTTCTACCCGCAAAAATATGTAAACACACAGGCTGGAACATGCTCACGCACTCGGCCACGTTAATTATCCTGACGCGGGCGATCTTTATCTAGGCGTGGGGCCGCTGGCGGCCCGGCTTCGTCACAGAATATCGTCGACACCAAGTATACGTACTTACGCATCTGTATTAGGTGATCTGTGACATAAGTTAGGTTTTTAGAGCGAATATTAGGCAATATTTCGCGAGGATAATCAAGCATACTCGAGTATGCCTGGATAATGGTGATGTGTAAATTGTGTCATACTCCCCTAACTCCCTCTCCATCAAATTCTGAGCCTGCGAGTGACGTCACTACCAGCAGCTTATAATGATGACGTCACCCGCAGACCTCGATGGAATGCTTGCGATTCAGGCTGTGCTAGTGAGTTAATTTTTTCGTCAATTTCAAATGTAGAAAAGGTGATTTTCGGTTTGTTCTCACAGAAGAAATTAAATGTTCTTGATCCTCGAGTATCCCAGAATTTGAAAAGATAGGGCAGTATGACACAAATGACACATCACATAATCCAGCAAAAGATTGTGCTTGGTTATCCTCAGGAAAAATTGCCTATTATAAAACTATTTTGACAGAATAACTGAAAGTTAACATCAGGAATGACAGAAATGACGTTACTTCTCATTGCAATTAAGTTAACTTTGAGTTATAAGTCAGAATAGTTTTATAATACCCGCCCTTAGTGATACAACATTTTGATCTAATTTTTCATTGAATGAAATTATACCCATATTTACTTAAAATTGACAAAATTTGGGTGTGGTCACCAATAAATTTTTCTTCACCTTTGGATTGCCTTCGCGGCGCTTAGGAGGCGCCGGATCTCAGTCTCCCCCCCTGGGGATAGTCATATCGCTACGGCCCTGGTAGGGGGACGTCCATGTGTACAGTCTCCTGTATGGAAGATTGTACCACGTATTTATAATCACGAATGCTTCCTTTTGGCAAAACTGTACAAGTCGTGGTTCTCTGTTGTTACTTATTCCTAGGCCGTACTGTCCGGAGACATCTTCTGTTGTTACTCTCTCCATCTTTTGATTGCAGAGTTTTTATTACCAGGAAATGTGAGTGATCATCAATAAAGCTCAATTTATAAACTTGCCGTCGGGATTCCGTTTGCGTCTGCGTTTGCGCCGGCCTCTCTGGTTACCGTAGTCTCTTATGCTGACGGCGTACTGTGAGGCCGACGGCGAGTATAAAAGCAATTGGAATCTTGACGGCAAGTTTATAAATTGGGCTTAATTGTTTGAAAATATTTTGACCCATCGTAAGCTACAGGATTGAGTCACAAACGTCACTGTGTATTAACTCTCCAATGTTTTTACTTCTTCTTTCACTTGCTTTGAATGGTAATCATGCTCCTTTCCCTTCTATACAAATAAAACAAATTTTCTCACTTGTGGGCAATTTCAGATCCCTAAGAACTTCTTTTCCAGGATATCCTAGGCGTATATGCCACAAAGTCCTATCAGCTGTCACAATATACAAACCACTTGCGAATGCACAGTCACAGAACACTCTAGAAAAGTATCTGCAATGTTATGTACCGGTTATGAATTACAGCGCCATCGTTGACTGAAAACCTAACTAATCGAGCATTCTTGACAAAAAGGCGAATTGATTTTTTTCATATATTTTTATTATTTTTAAATAATTTTTAATGTTCAACTGCATTTGGCTTGCTGACTCCTTTTAGCTCTTTTCGCCTTATTTTTTTGAAAACTATGTCTGGCAGGAAGTTTCCGATGTCGAACATAGTGCAAAAAGAGTTAGTAAGTTAGCAAGAGACACGCAGCTATAGGTAGATCGCGAAGTAAATACGAATAATAAATACAAATACGAACGAAATGAAACAAACGAGTAAATACAAAAAAATACGAACAAAAATTAGGGGTTTTTCAACCAGAACTTTTTGAATTTTCACTTTAACGCGCGTGGGGACCATGGTTTACAACAACAAAATTAAAAAATTCAAATTTCGACTTTTAAAATGACAAAATGAATGACAAAACCATAGAGGACAAAACCAACCAACACAAATCACTGTCCACACCACAGATACCTGTAAATTTCTCTTAT